GGGGGGGGGGGATGTGTGTGTGGGGGGGTTGATGGGGTGGAGGGGGGGGAGGGTAAGACGAACCACTGGCGGGGGAGGAGGGGAAACAGGCAGGCAGCATCTCCACACCCACCCACAGCTGCACATGCGACACATGCGTACATACATACATAATTGAACATCTATATGCTTATTTATATATATATATATGCTTTTATATATTTATCTACTTATATACATATGCATGTACGTACATACATACACATTCACGTGTCCAGCCCTCTCCACTCCACTCCGCCACACACCTGACCAATGGACGCAGCAGCCCGGGGCTCCCAGTCAAACTCCCGGAGCTGCTGCTGCCAGTCGGGTCCCAGCTCCGAAACCAAAACCCCTTCCAGTTGCGAGCGCGGCATCACATCGGCACCCGCACGAACACGTTCAAGAGCCGCCTGGACCTGTACGGCATCGGGTGATTGTGGGGAAGGGAGTGGGGTGTGTGTGGGGAGGAATAAAAAAGGGGGGAAATGGAGGAGACGGGGGGGGATACACAGATACACACACATACGCACATACATACGTGCATACACACCTGCGGCGGCAGCACGCTCTCGTCCTGGATGGACAGCATCTGACCAATCTTGAGCGCCGCGCCGCGCATTCGGCACAACGCATTCGCCAACCGCTCCGCATTCGCCTCAGTCAAAAACGACGAAGACGATGATCGTGATGATGATGATGACGATGATGACGAAGACGGCGACGACGAAGAAGCGTCGCGGCGTCCACCCTCGTCCCCGGCCCCAGCCCCGCCGCCGCCGCCGCCGTCCTCGACCCCCGCAGGCCCCCTCAGCGCCCGGCCAATGTTATCCGCCAAGCTGCCCATCAGCAGGCTGGCTCCGAGACCGGCAAAACCCAGGGCACGGCCCAGCGGCGTCTCCGGAACCCTGCTTGCCGGGTCGGGTCGGGGAGAGCGGGTGGGCGGTGGTGGGCAGAGGGGAGCGATAGGGAGCGACCTACATGAACCGGGTAACTAACCCCACTCCAACATGTGTGTATATATGTATGTCTGGTCTGTCTGGTCTGTCTGTATTGGGAATTGGGAATTACAACTTTAATCCCTAAGCCAGCTGCAAAACAGCCTTCCTAATCCACCTGCGCTCGCGCAGCTTCCGTTTAGGCGCTTGTAGCTCCGAAACCGCCTCCGTCGCCGTTACCCCCACCTCCGACCGGGTGTAACCGTTGGTCGTTACCCCGACTACAGGGAGACCTGGCGGTGCGGGTGCCGCCGCCGCCGCCGCCGCCGCTGGTGGGTCCGACTCAAGCGTTCCTCTTCCCTCCGCCGCCGCCGTAGCTGTCGTACCTGCCTCCCGCTGCCTCTGCCGGCTGTCCTCTTCATCCTCAGAGCTATTCATAATAGCCGCAACGACGACGTCATCGTGTACGGATGGCAGCCTCGTGCTAAGGTGTACGGCAGGCTCCTCTGCCGCCGCCACGGTCTCCGTCATGGCGTTATTATGCAGCGACCGGGAGACTGCCTCCGCCTCCGTCGCTGCCTCCGCCGCTGCCTCCGCCATTACACTCCTTTCAGCGGCCGCAATAGTGGTGGTGGTGGCCGCAATAGTGGTGGTGGTGGTTGCGGTGGCCTCGCTGGCGGCAATCACCGGCTCCAGGACTTGCGATGCAAGCCCCTGCATCGCGAAAGGGGAAGCCATGGGCAGGGACGGTGGCGGCGGCGCCGCTGCCACCGTCGCCCCCGGCTCCGTCGCCATCGCGTTGGCGGAGGCAGCGGCAGCGGCAGGACCCGGAGGCGCAGTACCATTGTACGACAAACTGCTGGTGGCGCCCCCGTCGCGTGTAAGCCAAGGATTAGATGTGGATGGCGCGACAGCATGACGGAGCTGGAAGGCTGCTGACGTGGCGGCAGCTGAGCCTGGGGTATCAGAAGTAGCAGCTGTAGTGGTGGGGGTAGCGGCGGTGGCAGGGTTGCGGCTTGCACCGGAATTCGTACTAGCCGCTGGCGCAGATGGGGCTGCTCCCGACGACGCCGAAGCTTGCGTCGCCGAGTTAGCTGCTTGTCGCCCCCCATCTGATGCTGCTTGTTGTGCGATATCCGCAGACTGCTGAAGTAGGTCCGCGGCATACTGAAGGGCCTTTTGGTAATCGGATGCAGCGGCCCGTCTCGCTAGTTTGCTGGCCGCATGGGAACGAAATTGCGTGGACAAGGCATTGATAAATGATTACTTAGAACTAAGGTGTCGCAAGCGTGTCATGGCGGCTGCGAAATACAATTCCGTTGCTCGTGCATCACATTCCAACTTACCTATCCGTCGCCATTTTGGTCGCGACAAGCGCCAGTCCGCGCAGCACACGCGAGGCATCCTCCAATTGCTTTGGAGCCAGCCAAGACATGTCGACGCGGCGTGTTCGCCGATTTGCAGGAAGTGATGGGTGTCGCGATTGTGCAAACGCTGCCACGCCAAGCAGTAAATCAATGTTCAGGATAGGTATATATGCGCAAGAGAGCTTCAGTCCAATCAATTAGAAACAAGAGTGTCGAGTACGCGCTCCCTTTTTGTCCACTCGTTAGCGCTAAAGCAAACGTAGGCACTCAATGAACTTTGCCAACTCCTTAGTGCAAGCCTTAAGCTAAAACATAAAAGGAGATAGTGTTGGCACATCATTAGTTTCAAGCTGCACGCAGAGTCCACTGACCGCCGTACTAACCTTCAACTGCCGGAAATCCTGGCTTATGATATACGGCTTGTAGCCCCAATGCAATGCAATTAATAGTTGGCCAGTGCCGTTCTAGACACGGAGTATCCTGATGCTACTGATACAAACTACCGCCGGAGTTACAGTGGATCTGACCATGCTATACAGTGCTGCCCGCATAACACAATCACAGCCATAAGAGGAAATCGGTAAAGTTTCACACAGTTACTGCTTGACAGGCCAGCAATCGCAGAGGCCCGAACAGGTACCAAAGCCCCCGGCCCCGTGCATAATTAGGCCGTGGCCTTTCCCCCAGCTGACCATGTTAGTCACTCCCCTACCCCCAGCAGCCCTTTATCAAGGGGGAGATAGCGTTACGATAGGCACGGCGTCCAACCGGGGGTCCAGCAGGAACATGTATTGCCACGCTTGTTGCACCGTACATGACAGCGAATTGATCGATGACTTGGAACTCAATCATTCAACTCTGAACAACGCAACGCAACGTTTTGTCTGGTGTTTCCGAAGAATTGTCAAGCAACTTTGCGCTGGAGTCCCAGCCATATTCGTTTGCCGCTTAGCAGCAGGATCGCCCTTCCAATCGCCCGATGGTTACTATGACTACGACTCTGCTGCGAATGCATGCGTGTGTGCAGCATTAGCGGTTTTACATACCTGTTCCTGTTCCTCAACAGATCTGAGTGAACGTGGCCTTTACACGATTGGGTTGCGTGTGGTATGTGTGCCGGTGATGCTGTAATTTTTGTTTTTATGTTTCAGATTGTATAAGTATTCGAAATCATTGCTCATGTCATCCCCCATCCTGAGGGAAATCAGTTGGGATCTCCCGCACAGGTTCGAATCCTGTCGACTGCGATTCTACCCGTAATGGGCAGTCGTGCCCGAGTGGTTAAGGGGACTGACTAGAATCTGGAGGGGGATATTTTGTTGTATCTTATCGCTAAATTCGTAATTTGAAGACTTAATGGGTGCCTTCCTTTTGCGTGGCACGTCTCGCGTGCTAACGACATCTTGGGATGTGCATATATGCACGCATATGCTTCTTGACGTCAATAAGCAATTCCTTCGCTTCAATTTTGTGCATTTCCAATGATTATGGCCACGTTTTCGCATGGTTCGTAAATTGAGAGTTGAGATGAAGGCGACAGCTTCACAGCAATATGTTAAACTTAACAGCGACCTAGCGTATCGGCATCGCAAACCAATCCTGCAGGGCCCCGCTTGTAGCTGGTACGGTTTTCAACAGTTCGTATATGGTGTTGAGCTTCGCCAATAGGAAGGCTTAAGACAACGCACCACAGTAGTTACGCACATATGTATACTCTACATATTGGCGCGGTTTAATATGACCGTGTGAGACAATAGCGCGTCCGACTCGGTATGTCTTTAGCCTCCGATAAGGTCAACTACTTAATCCCTGCCTGAATGGACGATACCGATAAGCAGAAGAAGGAGACGGAGGATGTCGAAAAGCAACCATTACTTGCGCAACCGAGCTTGCTAGATTATAAGAGCTTAGGTTTTACGACTGCAATTATAATAGTTTACTATGCCTTCTGCTCGTCATTAATGTTAGTCATAAACAAGGTCGCGATCCACTACATTCCTGCCCCGACCTTCATCCTCTGCACCCAGTTGATTGTATCTGTGCTCGTCGTGCTGTTGGGCCACAAGGCAGGCTGGTTAGTGGCAGACAAGTTAGAATGGGAGAAGGCGACCAAGTTTGCATGGGTTGTTGTCGGGTGAGTCGGGTTGACTAAGCAAGCACCTAGAAGCTTGGTGGGGCGCGCAGCCTCGTTCAATTGCTCATCATTGCCTCAACGCATCCAGTTAGCCAAGCAAAAGACTGTGGGACTCCATGTCCATTCACCACGCAAGAGCTGCTAGGTTGCCGCTTCCATGGTCCCCGATTCTTCCTTCACGAGCGCACAACCTACAAAGCCCCCTCTCCCCCCTTGCATAATTCTCCCAATTCCACATCCGGCATATACGCGGATGTCGTTGACTAGCAACAGATATTATGCCGCTATCCACGTGTGCCCAGGGCAATCGTCAGCCCGACGTTCCTTCCCTTTCCTAACATCTACCCGGCCCTCCTTGTAGTTTCCTAGGCACACTGATGGCGAATATCAAGGTGCTTCAAAACGCCAATGTGGAGACCTTTGTCACCTTCCGATCCTCCACTCCCCTGGTAAGCGCCACCAGCTGCTGACCCATGGGTCACACCAGCAGTGATCAGTACCTTAGCCCACCTACCGTATCCACCGCCCGCTCCACCAGCTCCCAGGCCAGGCCGTGAGGGGGGACGTCAGGTGCGACATCGAGGCAACAGCCCCCTATGAGGGGCGACATTACCAGGGGCAAAACATGCCAGGAGGCATCCACCCCATGGGGGTGCATCGGGGTGGTCCGCAGTGGTGAACAGGCCAACAGCAGTAGCAGCAGCAGTAGCAGCGTAACAGCTGCCCAGCCAGGCCTCAGCAAGTCTTCGAACGCTCGCGTACCTGCTACTGCCGCTGTGCCCGCCAACGGTACCGCCCCGAGCAGCAGTACCGTCTTCGGGCTCCACCACCTCCTCCGTGGGGGTTCTGCAAACCGCGCTGCTGCTGCTGCTGCTGCTGCCGCTGCTTTACGGCCGCCTAAGGAAAGGGAGCTATCCGCGCATGGAGAGATGCAGCACCCGGGTTCCGAAGATTCCCACCCACCCACTCACTCACCCACTCAACCCCCGGTTCCAGCATCCTCCTTATCACCGTATCCACCCGCTTGGCCCCCGGCACCCCCACCCCCACCCCTCCTCACCCCCCAACCCCCTGCTCACCCACGCACCCACACGCCCCGCGGCCCGTGGGGCTGACCCACAGGTTCTGTCCATTTGCGATTACGTATGGCTGGGTCGTGCACTGCCCAGCGTTCGGTCATGGTTGTGTCTGGTGGTGCTGCTGGTGGGCTCTGCGGGCTACGTGCTGGTGGACGCGGACTTTAAAATCCATGCATACTATTGGCTACTGTTGTGGTGGGTAGTTGGTTGGGTTCGCAGCCTGGCTAGTAATGCTGTGGCAGTTTTGGGTTTTAGGGTTTTGAGTGGGATCGGATTGCTCGTTGGTGAGTTAAAAAACCCCGAGCGGATTGGATCGCAAGATTATTTACGGGATTCGAACTGGGGTTGGAAGGTTTGCGGGGGGAAGTGCATGAAAAGATTATCTTCGTAGGAGCAGTGTACGGCAACACGTACGGCGTAGCAAGCGCACTAACCAGCCATTCATCTCTCCTTCTACGCACACGCTGAGGATTTTTCGCTTGAAATTGGCGTTTAGAGGAAAATCCCTTTCCTAAGGTTCAATGTACGACAAAAACACATGCGCAGGTACGCGTTCTTCACCTTTGACACGGTGTACGTCAAGCACATGTGCGACACTGTACGGATGACCAACTGGGGCCGGGTGTACTACGCCAATCTCATGGCTTCCGTACCGCTGCTGGTGGTCCTGCCTTTGACCGGGGAAGGTGCCGTACTGCGGGGGCTGACGTGGAGCATTCCCGGGATCTCTACTTTGGCGCTGTCGTGTGTTTTGGGTGTGGCCATGTCCCACGCGTCGTACTTGCTTCGCGAGGCGGTGTCCGCGACGCTCTTCACCATTGTGGGCATCATCTGCAAGGTGGGGGTTGGGGTGGGTGGGGTGAATGGCGGGAAAGGGATGGTGGTGGTGAAGGAGGGGGGAGATGTAAATATGGTTGATGTGTGGGACAGGGGGTTCATATCTTCACCCGTGGCCGCTACCCGGCAGACCCTGTACCCTTCCCCGGTATTTCAGAGCACCCTCATCCAGTCACCCTAGCCGACTTTTCAGTGGATCGCTCAGGTTCAGCACCCACCAACGGCATCCAACGGAATCTGCCGGATCAACGGCGGCTCAACTACATTCCTGGTCAGCTCGCAAGTCAACTTTATCCTAGCTCACCACCATCCATCGACTAGGGACACTCTTACCTTCCACCATCGGAAGGATTTTCGACCCTGACAGGTCTCGATCCCGGGATCTCCTGGGGGCAATGGTCGTGCCTTACCAGTAGTGCCTAACCTGGTATATATGTATGTTGTTACAGGGTGGTTAACTTCGCCAGCGGCCCCCTTTCCCGGGGCAGTCCCTGCTCTCCCCTGCTAGAGGGGCACCCTAATCCGTCACCCCATCCGACTTCAGAATGTATTCGTTGGGTTCGGCAACTCACCACCAGCATCCAACCAAATCTAGCGGATCAACGGCGCATCAACTTAGTTCCTGGTCAGCTCGCAAGTTGATATTATCACGTCCTACACCGTCCATATGATGGGGGGCCACCTCCCATTTCATCACTCCTCAAACACCCGAGGAGCTGGCAGGCGGATTTGAACCCGGGTCGACTGGATCGACTGGGAGCAGAAGTCAGGCCTTAACTTCTGCCAGCCGCCTGCCTAAGGATGTATGCGTGTATCCCCCCTCGCGACTGAGTGGGGACGGGGTTGGGGCCATTGAGTTGGGTCTCGGGGCCGCGTGTGAATGTTTTTGCGGGGGCTTGGGTTTGTGTTTCAAAAGGGGGGGGTCCCGTGTGAACTCCATCCTCAAAGCAAACACGGTACTTCTGGGCCCCCCATCCTCGCGGTCCCCCCCTGCTCCTGCCTCCTCCTCCTCTCCCCCCCGTTCACCCCAACCTTTTCAGGTCGTTACGGTGGTCATCAACGTCGTGATTTGGGACAAACACGCCTCGCCGGGCGGCATTGGGTTCCTCCTCATCTGGTGGGGAAGGGAAGGGGGGGAAGGGAGGGGGGAAGGGAGGGGGGAAAGGGAGGGGGGAAGGGAGGGAGGGGGGAAGGGAGGGGGGAAGGGAAGGGGGGAAAGGGACTGGGGAAAGGGAGGGGGGAAAGGGAGGGGGGGAAGGGAAGGGGGGGAAGG